AGCATATTTTTCATTGAAATCCAAGAGTTATTCTGTAGGTTTTATCCAATAAGGTTAAACGCTTCGCTCGAATGCATACTTCCCTTTTTTCAACTCAAGATAGTGATGGAAAAATTTTGCGGTAACGGAGTTAAAATTAAAAAATGACAATTTCACAATATTTATTTCAATAGTTATTTCATAATCAATTATTAGAATATATTAAAGAATATCAAACATAGCTAATCAATCTTATAAATCAAAACAAGTAAAATATAAAAAAATAGGTAAGAAATGTATTAAACAAGTCGTGGTACTTTTGCAATATGACTATACTTTTCAGAAGATCGAATCTGTTTCAAAAGATCTGGTTTATTTAATAGATAATCATAAAATTGTGTACATGTATGATGACTATTCATTTTGATCTTCAATTCAGCTCCAACTAAATCGTGTTTCATTCTACGTCGATTGTCATTCCATAAATACTTCATGTGGCTAAAAACTGATTCACAAAACGCATTTGAAGCAGGAATGGCAAAAACAAATTGAACAAGTTTTTTCAAATTAGGTACAGTTTCACCATCCAGTAGGTAAGCCCATAAGCGATCACTTCTCATTAATTGATTTCCTTGTTTATCTTTATGACATTTACTATGAGATTCATCATCATCAGAATCAGAACTATTTTTACCATCACATTCATTACATATACTTTCTTCAATATTAAGTGGTGCTTCAACTCGTTTTGGTATACCTAAATTTGATGAGATAAATGATTGTACTTGGTTGTGAATACCATCAAACTTTTCCTTTAATTCAATATATTTAGATTTTATATGATTAAAATCATTATATAAGCCAACTTGATCAATCATTTCATCATCAGTAAAAGTAGAACAATATTGAATATCTTTCCATTCGAGTTTTTCTATATTAAGTTCACTGAAAATAGAAATTGATTGATAAAATGATGCAGAATTATTATAATATTTTTCAATATAATCAATCAATGAACGAATAAATAATCTAAATGATTTTTTTAAATCATCAACTTCAATTGAATATTGAATATTTTTCAATAATTGATCAACTTTAGACCCAAAAAAATCATCTTTTAATCGATTATTTAGTTTACGAAGTAAAGTTGAAATAATAGTATGTAAATTAACACCAGTTGTGTATTCGCGTTGTAATGATAAATTAGCAGCTTGTACTTCAGGTAAAACATTCGTCAAAAAATATAACGAACATTCACCTATCAAAAGAATAGATAAGTTAATGAATACGCTTCGAAATACAAAAATTATTTACTTTTATTTGACGTGAAAAAAACTAATAATAAACTTGGACATTCATTATCTTCTAAATTTAAATAATAATTTTTAACGACTGGATAAACAAGAATAAGACGCTCGATAGATGCTAAAAGACTAAGCCATCTTAATCGAATATGTTGAAGAATGACCTAAATTAAAGATGTATATTCCAAAATATTTAATATGACAATTTTATAATAAACTAGAACGATAACAATTTTAATAATTAATCACCTTCTGCTCTTGTTCAACAAAATCGAAGTATTTTTCTAGTTCTTTTGAACGAACTGATGATTTAGAAAAATGAGCATATATTTTCAATAATGCTGCTTCAACATCAAACAATAAATAGTTATTTCCATGTTTTACCGAATTATGAAGAATATGAGAGTAGCAATTTCCTAAAACGAAAAAATATAGAAGGATTAGCTGATGCAAGTTTTTAAATTGATGAATTTTTCACCTTTAATTAAACGAGGTACTAATTTTTGAAATAAAGCAAATACACTATGATTATTACCAATGTTTACATTGGTGTTATCAGATCCAAGCGAAATAAGTTGATTCAATCTCAAGTCATTTGCTTCCAAAACATATTTTATATTTGTAAATAATGCTTCAGCCGATTCATGTTGTTGTTCAATAAAGTCGATCACACCATGTTTAACACCAAATTTAGAAAAAAATTGAACTACAATAGGAAGCATTTTAATATTCCCTTTATTCGAAGTATCGTAGTAAATCGAAAAAAAATCAACATCACGTAATTCAAGTACAATAGAATGTGTAAGTGATGGTGCGAGTACATTATACGCTATTTCACGAGCCTAGGAAATAAATATAAAATATAGGATTGAGACCTAACAGAAATAATATAATATTATCTTTACTTTAGTTTTATTGCAAGTTATATTTTTACTATAGAAGAATCAGAAAAACATTTTTTAAGTACATTAATTGTACATGCTTGTGAAATGTAACTATGTGAATGTTTAACAGAATGAAAAACCATAGTACCTTCTGCAGCACATAATTTATTAAGTTCAGATGTTGGCATATTAAATACTGCATCAAGAGTTTTAGCTGAAACAAATTATGAAAAAGATGGTTTAAAACTATCTTTTGGTAATGATAAATCTTACATCGATTTGCTGCAACTGATTTTACAGATTCTTGATGTTTCATTGTTTGAATATGATGATTAATATCACCAAGTCCACTATTTTGAATAGAAAATTGAACATTACAAGTGATACATAAAGCTTTTGTTGGATCGTTTTTACATTCACGTAAAAATGTAGAAAATTTAGAATTGGACAACCATTCTTTTTTGAATTTTGATGAATAGCGTTTATAATTAACTTTTGATGATGATGATGATGATGATGATGATGATGATGATGATGATGGTGATGATGATGATGATGATGATCATGATGATGATGATGATGATGATGATGATGATGATGATGATGATGATGATGACGATGATGATGATGATGCCGAAGTAGCAAGTGCTAATGTTGAAGTAGCTTTTAGTGAAGCAGAAATGGATTGATTTACAGCTGGTGGATCAAATTGTGTCGAAAAATTATCATCCGATACATTTGATATTTCAATAATATCATCCTCTTTCGAAAAAGACATTTTATAAATAAGTTTTTGTCTGATTACGATATATAGATTTTTATTACAGATTTACATCAATTATTCTATTTGATTGAGAGTTAATTTTAGTTCTACAAAATTATAAGGAATGCATTTTCTTATTGGATATTATC